ACATTACTCCTAAGATGTATTCTATTAGCCAACCACATTGGCCTTCTTACTCTTCTCCACTCAAGTCACTACATCTACTGACTCCATGACTTTGCACTGTCTGTCTCTTATCCCTTCCTCACCTTCCTTCAAGACTCAGCTCAAATCACACCTTTTGAAGAAGGTCTTTGCTCTTTCTCCATACCCTGCCCCAGTGACTTCCCTTCAGAGATCACCATTTACAATTTATTTTGTATTTGCAGATAGATTTTGTATGTACATAATTCTTTGCATCTTGTCCTCCCCATTAGAATATGAACTCCTTGGGAACAAGAAACATGGAACCAGTTTTTTTTTGCCTCCTATTGTGTCCCCACCACTTAGCATAGGGGGCACTTTGTAAAAGCATGTTACCTATCATGTTCCCGTCACTATTTTCCTGTTTTTTTTTTCATTTTATTTTAGGTGAAAATCATTGGTTAAGACAGTTTAAGACAATATGGCACAGTGCACAGAGCCAGCTTTGAGGCCAGAAAGACCTGGGTTCAAGTCTCACCTGTGACACACATTGCTCGTGTGACTCTGGACTTCCTGGCATTCTAGGCACCTCATAGGACTATAAATTGCAGAGAATGTGTAAATTTGCATTGTTAGGGGGAGTTCCTTATACCAATGACATCACCTGGATGGTTTTCAAACCTGTCTCAGTGCCCCAGTCCTCTCCCTTCATCTGACCCCTTCAACCCTTTCCTTCCCCACAATTAAAATCAGGCATCAGAATGAAAAAAAACCAAATCGAGTTTACCAAAGAGATCACAGGATTTGTAGTTATCTCTAATCCAGCACATCTGTGCATCGTTATGACAATGGCTTTACCAAAACATTATCCCAAGCCAGAAGAGCCAACTGTCTCAAAACAATCCTGCATATAGGAAAGAATAATGGGTAATGTCTATGTTATAGTTTTTGAGAAGTCTCCGGTGGGTAAGCACGCTCTTTTAAAGTTGTAGTTTTAACTGTTAATGATGAGATGTTGATTCTCTGTGTAAAAGTTATTTGGAAATGCATTTAACAAAACTCAAGTCACCTAATTGGTACTGGGTTTGTTTCAAGTTTCAAATTGGTGAACTTTTTGTATCAGTTATGTCAAGCAATTTTTCATAATTTGACTAACCGCGAAAATAATTTGGCTATTGTTGGCTATTGTTTTAATGTGTAAACTTGCCAAAAAGCTTGTCTGGGGTTTTATCTTGTTGAGAATTTGCAAGTGTATAGAAGTAATCTCTAATGATTGGCTTTTTACTCCAAGACAAATTTCAGTTTGAGATATAAATCCTGGAAATATTTTCCCCAAGCTGTGATTAGTGAAACTTGCTGTTTGAGGTAAAAAGCTCATAGGATTTTATTTTGAGTTGTCTGATGGGCCATAGTTCATCGATAATCAATAATCCATCATCTGAGAGAAATGCCACAAGCTGCTCAGAGAATATGATACTGATGGGAAGTCAACATCATGAAAAGCTGAGGGGACAATTTGAACCTCAGTCTAAGATGGGATCCTCCTGGCTCAGTTTCCCTATCATGTTCCTTTGAAAAGGAATGTTATCCATCTGGTTATTCTTGAGTCTGGCTATAGGATGGATTTGATACTGCATGGTTGTGTTGAGGTTTAGGGGTTTAGGGATGTTGGAACCCCAAAATCACAACGTGCAGATTCTGCTCAAAAGAATTCAACCCAAGCCTTCTTTCAGCCAAAGACAAGGTTTATTAGAACATCTGTCATATTGGGCAGACTCTTAAGGAGTATGAACATTAGTGAGCTAGGTTGTAAGAATCTGTGCAGTGGCTAGGTTTTAAGAATCTGAGCACCTTAGTGGAGACAGGATGGACCTGATGTACAGAAAGACTGTGGGAGGGATCTAGGAGTGGCCAAGTAGTTTGGGGTGACTGGAGGAGGAGTCTAAGGAAGATCTGAATGGGAGTGGCCAGTAAGCTGGGGTGAACAGAACACCCGGGACTTGAACCACTTGGCCAAGGGAGAATGGAGCCTAGTTGAGATTCAGGGTGGCAAATGGCCAGGGGCCATAGGGAGGTAAGACAATGGAGGGCTAGGCTAGGTTAAGGGTAACAGAATTGGGAGACTGGGTGTAGCTACAATGAAAGGCCAGTTGATATCAGAGATTTGGCCATGTGGGAAAGTCCAGGGTTTTTCCTTTTTGGAGTCTAGCTCCCATCCTCATCAGTTGGAAAACTGAATTATCTGAATCCAAACAGAGCTAAGGATGTTTTATCCTGTCATATCTGGGCCCTGCAGTCTTTTCTGTCAGATTTGTGTCTTCCAGATTATAGGCCATTCACCTACAGTTGGTAGCAAACAGCAGGTACCAGCCAATGTCTCCCCATTGTTCCCTGGATGCAGCCTCTGCTCTGTTCCAGTCAACCTCCTCTTTGGGACCCTCTTGAGTCAGGGATACCTCTACACCCCTTGCCAGCAGGAAGCAGTTTCAGGAGCCAAGATCTTTGCCCTTCACCCCAAAAGAATTTGGGTCCCATTTGTTTGAGAGGGGAATGATGGGGTTGGGATCTGGGCTACAGAAAGGAAAAACTCTGGACTTTCCCACAAGGCCAAATCTCTAGTGTTCACCAGAGGCCATAATTCCATCAACTGAACTTTCATTGTGGCTACACCTAATCTCCCAATTCTGTTACCCTTAACCTAGCCTAGCCCTCCAATGTCTTACCTCCCTAAGGCCCCAGGCCACTTCCCACCCTTAATCCTAGCTAGACTCCATTCTCCCTTGGCCAAGTGGTCCAGGTCCCTGGCATTCTATTATCTCACCATCCCCAGCAGACTACCTGGCCACTCCTAGATCCCTCCCACAGTCTTTCTGTATATAAGGTCCATCTTGTCTCTATTAAAATGCTCATATTCTTTAAAAAAAGAAAGAAAGAAAGAAAGAAAGAAAAAGAAAGAAAGAAAGAAAAGAAAAGAAAAGAAAGAAAAGAAAAAGAAAAGAAAAGAAAAGAAAAAAGAAAGGAAAAGAAAAGAAAAGAAAAGAAAAGAAAAGAAAAGAAAAGAAAAGAAAAGAAGAAAAGAAATGGAAGGGACATGGAAGATGAGAAATTGAGGCCCAGAATGGTTAAATAACTTGCCCAGGGACAGATCCACTAAGTGATAGGCCAGAGATCTGAACTCCCATGACTCTTTCTTTTCTGCATGGTTAAAATCCAAGACAATATTTTCCTTCTCATTTTTGCTCCATTCCCACCCTCCATTTCCAATTTCCCTACTCATGTTTGTGGCAGGATGTGTGTAAGGTGGCATAGATCCAGTCTGATACAAGCTCCTTGGATCCATGGCCATGAACAATCTCACTGCCCTTGTGCATCCTTATGTAACCAAGATAATGTAAACATTTGAGTTTGGCCTGTGAACAGCCATACCGCACCTGCTCTATGCTGACACATCATGGTATAACCAAAGGTAGTGCCAACTAAGGAGCTTATTGTTGGCATATTGCCTTCTCTGTCCACTTCTCCATACGTCAAGTGAGCACCAGTCAGCGAATGTGGATATTCCAGGAGCCGATACTGTAAAGGTGGATGCTCCCCCTGCCCCATCTCACCAGGCTGCCACAAGAAGAATAATTAGGAGGGTGCTGTAGCAGCTGAGCTCCCCAACCTCATCCTGACCTGTCTGCCACCAGGGAATAAAATAATATTAACCCCGTATCATTTCCCCGCTGCCATCCTTCATTCTGCCCTGATCCAGTGTGAACCTGCTTGAAGACTGGGGAGCTGAGCTCCTGTCTAACGCAGGATTGTTCCCACAGTCCCCTGGGCCTAAAACTTTCAGAGTTATATTCTCCTTCTACCTCTGATCTCATCCAAAGAGTTACCAAGTAGTGTTTATAACTGCTGCGTAGTCTTTGGGAAAAGCAAACATAGCATGGCAGGATGGGTAGGGTCCTGGATTTGGAATCAGGAGATCTGTGTTCCAGTTCTTCTTATGAACTAGATGCCTCTTGGATATTCCACAGGTATTTCACATTCAACACGTTCAAAGCAGAACTCATGGCTTTTCCCCCCCAAACACCCTCTTCTTCTCCACTTTCTCATGACTGTCCAAAACCTCAGCCTTGATTTCCCACTCACACTCACCCCACATATCCAATATGTGGTTGAGTCATCACTTCTACCTTCACAAAATCTCTTGTATTTGTCCCTTCTTCCCTTTCGTAAGCTTCTACCCCACTTTAGGCGCTCATCACCTCCATCTGGACTACTGCAATCACCTTCTAATTGGTCTGTCTTGCCTCAAGTCTCTCTCCACGCCAATCTATCTTCTGCTCAGCCGCTAAAGTGATTTTCTTAAACCACAGATCATGTCTGACCGTGTTGTGACCCAACAAGTCTTCCCATCCCCAATAAACTCCAAGGGCTCCCTATTACTTCCATGATCAAATATAAAATCCTCCGTTTGGCATTTAAGGCCCTTTGCAGGATAGAGTTACAAATTAAGAAAATATCTTCATGTGTGGAATTTCAGGAATTGGAGAGTATAAACGTATTTGGAAAGCATTTGAGTGGAGATTAATGGAGAGGGAAGTGGAAGTGATATTATCAAGGGAGTATACCAGAGACCACTTGCACAGAAAGAAGAAATGGATGAGGAGTATAGGAAATAGAACAGAAGCTGGCATGGCACGCTAATGATAGAGGATTTTAATTCTCTGGACTGTGCTAGAAGCATCACTCTGCCAAAAGCAGAGCATCTAGCACATTCTGGGTCTGCCTCAATGATTATTTCATGGTTAAAGAGACAGAAGAAGAAAAGAGGGGAAATTTGGCCTTGAATCCAGCCGACAAAGAAGAGCTGATTGAACAAAGTAGAAGTGATGGGAGCCTCAAGAAGTAAATGATTGCGAGATGCGCAACGGCTTAGGCAGTGGAAGCACCTGCCAGGTCGGACGGAGTGCCTGAGCCGCCCCGCCGCCGGGACCCGCCGCCAGCGCCCCTGACCCGCGGTAACCGTGTGTGACTGCAAAGCCGTAATCAAAAGCGCGGACATGTCGGAGGAGATGCAGCAGGTCTCCGTAGAGTGTGCCACCCAGGCCCTGGAGGAGTACAACATCGAGAAGGACATAGCAGCCCATATTAAGAAGGAGCTTGACAAGAAGTACAACCCCACCTGGCACTGCATCGTGGGGAGGAACTTCGGCAGCTACTTGACGCACGAGACGAAGCACTTCATCTACTTCTACCTGGGCCAGGTCGCCATCCTCCTCTTCAAGTCTGGTTAGAGCATGGCCTGTGCCTCCTGCCCCGAGAGCCATCCAGATCACAAGGAATGCAGCCTAAATTCCAAATACCAGAGACTAAACTAGCTTCAGCGTTGCCATGGGAACACCTCCAGCTTTAAGCCTTTATTGCGTTGTTGTTGTTGTACAGGGCGTCCTATGCACTAGTTTGTTGTGGTTATAAAACAATTAGCAAAAAAAAAAAAAGAAGAAGAAGAAGTGATTGCTCTATCTTAGAATTCATGGGAAAGGAGAGAAAAGCTGGGCACATCATCTGATGTGCACCCTAGTTTGGGGAGAGCAAATTTCAGAGTTGTCAGAGAACGATGTCATAGCCTAAGACTCTACAAGAAAAATGGCCCCAGAAGGACATGATGTTCTTGAGAATGAAATGCTAAAAATGCAAAGAGAAATTATTCCAATGAGGGAGCTATAAAAAGAGAACAGAGTGGATGGACAGGGAACTCAATGACCAACATCAACAGTAAATGGAAGCAAGGGCAGGTCCCAGATCATGAAGACAAAAGCATGGTCCATGGTCCTGTAAGAAGAGCATCCAGAGTGCTAAAGTTCAGTAGTGGCTGGTGCCATAGTAAACAGGGTCAGGCCTGGAGTCAGGAAGACCTGAGTTCAATCTGACTTCTAACACTCACTAGCTGTGTGACCTTGGGTAAATCACCTAACCTCTGTTTGCCTCAGTTTCCTCATATGTAAAAACGGAGATCAGAATCACACCTCCCTCACAGAGTTCTTGTGAGGATCAAATAACTTAATATTTGCAAAAAGTAGTTAATGTAGGGCCTGATACATAGTAGGTACTTAGGAGATGCTTATTCTTTCTCTTCTCTTCCATCAAGGAGAATGGCCTTTGAGTTAGGGATAGAACACTAATGGCTAATAGAGGGGTAGCATGTGAGCGGTTCCATAAAGGATGGGTAGAAAATGAAAAGGTGACAAGAAGGAAGGGAAACATTTCAAGCCCAGGGAACAATGTCAGCAGGTAGATCCACGGAAGAAAGGAAACAAGCAATTATTAAGTGCCCAATACATGCCAGGCACTGTGCGTTACAACTGGAGGAAAGGAAGTCTTGTTGCATTAGTCTTGGGCCCCAAAATATACTGGATGTTTTTTATGGGCACGTCCTGTCTCCCACTTTACTTGTATCTCCCATGATCCACAGCCCTCTTCTAGGCATGCTTCTTATTTGAATGCCTTTGTGGACCCATGATCTTACTGGCATGGTCTCTACCTCTATTAGGGCCCATGACTGCCCACCTCCATCTGCTCCTCCCGTGTGGATACATTACCATGAATTTTCCATAGACAATCTCCCTAAGTGCGCTGGAGTGTGTCTCTAAGTAACCTTTAGGCTTTTCTCTCAGCCTCCCAAAATGACGGAAAGATTTTCTTTTTAAAACGTTTTACAGTCAAAACTGAATGCTGTGAGATTATAATGGGCAATCTGGGTCCTAAAGGAGACATAGGAGGAAGCACTTCCCCCCAGCTCCTTGCAGAGATGGGGGCTAATGGGCATACAGCACTGTATAGTGACAGAGTTTCCAGTTGGATGATTAGTTTTGCGGAACTTTCCCCTCCCCCTCACACCTCTTTTTTACTTTTTATTATAGGGGATGGCTTTATGGGAAGAATATATACTGAGACATACAGGTGTTACAGAAAACAAACACTATCGATAAAAATGATTTAAAATAAAAGATTTTCTGCCCTCACCTCACTACCATTGTCTCTTCTCAGTCCAGTGCTCTTTCCCTTATACCACGCCGACATGTGCATCATTACCATTTGCTACATCCTATTAACATGTGCTATATGTCTCTCCATTGTCCTTTGAGGCATCCACCATTTTGATTCTTTATAGATTGCAACGTTCTGAGATTCACAGTCAAATGTCATCATGGGAAGAATACTGGTGTTCAAAAGATATCGTTAGGAATGAGCTTGAGATCAGTAAAAGCACATGTAAGTTAGCACATGCAATGCAGTGTGCTCCCTTCCTTTTTACTCTTCATATATAGGCTTAGATCTTTGCTCCTCTTTAGCACCTTCTCAAGGCACAAGCATGAACGGACCAACTCAGTGAGTTGCCTTTAAAATTGCACACCATGATCTGATACATGATTTTCATCCACTTGGTTTTTCCTCTGTGGATTGATAGGTTTTGTCTATTTGTTGTCCGTCTTTCAGTTTCATCTAATAAATGTTGTAGTGATGATCTGGCTGGATTAGGTTTCACGCCAAGTTTCCTGCAAGCTCTTTTTCCATTGCTTTTTGCTATTTCATGACAGTAGATTCATAATATTCTGTTTGCTCCAGAGCAATGCTTTAAAATGAGCTTGTACTTTTGCTTCCTCTTGGCAATGAGATCAAATATTTGTTATCCAAGTATATTTCTGGGCTTTTGGGGCCTTCTTGCTGTGGTGACTGTTTTATAGTTATCTCTTCCACCTTGTGACTTTCCCCATTGAGGTTTCAATATATCGGCATAAGAAATTAAATGGGAATTTTGGGGGAGTTTTGCAGAAGCCACAGACAACACACAGAGGCCATCAGATACCACAGAGAAAATATTTTTACTTAACATTGACCTACATAAAATCTCTGACCAAATACTTAATCCAAATCTTACAACAATGTACTGTAAACACTCCATAAAAGAAAAAGAAAAAATTCGGATTTCTTCTCTGGTATGAAGGGAGGGCAAGAAATTTTATGTGGTTTCCAGATTGCAGAGGCACCACACCCCCTAACCACAGCGATGTAGAAGGGACAACTGTGTATTGGTTAAACTTGTCAATGAAATGGAATGATCAAAACCCATATCTTTACTTTTATCTATTTCCCCCTTCCCTCAAACTATATTTAAATAAACTGAGATGGAGCTGCTGTATCTGCGTATGATTTTTCACTTTTGTTCTTTCTTATAATTTAATTTCTTTTTTTAATTTTAAAAATTATTTTATTTCATTAACTATTCACCAATTACACGTAAAAAATTGTAACAATGTTTCAAAATTGAGTTCCAAATTCTCTCTTCCCCACTTCTCTCCCACCTCCTTCAGAAGGCAAGCAATTTGTCATCAATTACACATCTGAAGTCATGCAAGACATATTTCCATATTACCCATGTTGCAAAAGAAAACATAAACAAAATAAAACAATAAAAATACAGAGAGTAAAAAAAAAAACAATCTGCAGTCAGAGTTCATCAGTTTTCTCTCTCTGGAGGTAGGTAGTATTTTTTCATCATAGGTCATTTGGTTTCTGGTTTCTCCCCCCACCCCAGGCAATGGGGTTACATGACTTGCCCAGGGTCACACAGCTAGTAAGTGTCAAGTGTCTGAGGCTAGATTTGAACTCAGGTCCTCCTGACTCCAAGGCCAGAACTCTATCCACTGTGCCACCTCACTGCCCATCATCATGGGTCATTTGGAAATATCTTGGATCGTTGTCTTGATCAGAGTAGCTAAGTCTTTCACAGCTGATTACGTACAATATTGGTGTTACTGTGTACTGCGTTCTTCTGGCTCTGCTCATTTTGCTTTGCATAAGTCCATATAAGTCTTCCCAGGTTTTTCTGAAACCATCCTGCTCCTCATTTCTTATAGCAAAATAGTATTCCATCACAATCACATTCCACAATCGAGGCATCCCCTCGATTTCCAATTCTTTGCCACTACAAAAAGAGCTGCTATCAATATTTTTGTACAAATAGGTCATTTTCCTTTTATTTATTTATTTATTTACTTACTATTTATTTATTTATTTATTTATTTATTTATTTATTTATTTATTTATTTATTATCTCTTTGGGATATAGACCTAGTAGTGGTCAAAGGGTATGCAGAGTTTTATAGCCCTTTGGGCATAATTCCAAATTGTTCTCCAAAATGGTTGGATCAGTTCACAACTCTACCAATAATGCATTAGTGTCTCAATTTCTTCACATCCCCACAACATTTGTTGTTTTCCTTTTCTGTCATATTAGTGAATCTGATGGGTGTGAGGTGGTACCTCACAGTTGTTTTAATGTGCATTCCTCTAACAAATAGTGATTTAGAGCATTTTTATGACTATTTCTTTTTTCTGAAAACTACCTGCTCCTATCCTTTGACCATTTATCAACTGGGGAATGGCTCTTATTTCTTTTTTATAAATTTGTCTCAATTCTCTATATTTTTAATAAATAATATCTTTATCAGGGAACCTTGCCGTAAAAAAATTTCCCGTTTGCTATTTTCCTTCTAATTTTGGCCACATTAGTTTTATTTATGCAAAAGCTCTTTAATTTCATATAATCAAAATCATCTATTTTATATTCTGTGATCCTCTGTCTTGTTTAGTTATAAACTCTTCTTTGATCCATAGATTTGACTGGTACATTTTTTCCATGCTCGCTTCTAATTTACTTATGGTATCATGCCTTATGTCTACATCATTTATACATTTTAACCTTATCTTGATCTACGGTAAGATGTTGGTCTACAGCTAGTTTCTGCCAAACTGTTTTCTGGTTTTCCCAGCAATTTTTTATCCAATGTTGAGTCCTTATCCCAAAAGTTTGTATTTTTCTAGATTTGTTTGGTTATTTACAACCGTTTGTTGTATACTTAATCTATTCCACTGATCCACCACTCTATTACTTAGCCAGTACCAGACTGTTTTGATGATTATCATTTTGTAATATAGTTGGAAATCTGAAACTGCTAGGCTACCTTCCTTCATATTTTTTTCATTGATTCCCTTGATATTTTTGACCTTTTGTTCTTCCAGATAAATTTTGTTACTATTTTTTTAGGTCTATAAAATAATTATTTGGTAGTTTGATTGGTATGACACTGGTTAAGTAAATTAGTTAAAATTGTTATTTTATGGGGCAGCTAGGTGGCGCAGTGGATGGAGCGCCGGCCCTGGAGTCAGGAGGACCTAAGTTCAAATCTGGCCTCAGACACATAACACTTACTAGCTGTGTGACCCTGGGCAAGTCACTTAACCCCGTTGCCTAGCTAAAAAAAAAAGTCTCAAAAATTGTTATTTTATTATATTGACTTGGCCTACCCATAAGCAATTAACATTTCTTCAATTGTTTAGAGCTGCCTTTATTTCTATGAAAAGTGTTTTGTAATTGTGTTCATATAATCCCTGGGTTTGCTTTGGCAGGTAGACTTCCAAATATTTTATGTCATTTCTCATTATTTTAAATTGAATTTCTCTTTTGTTGGTAGTATATAGAAACAATGATGATTTATGTGGGATTATTTGATATCTTTTCATCTAGTTTTTAGTTGATTCTCTAGGGTTCTCTAAGTACACCATCATATCATCTGTAAAGAGTGATAGTTTTGTTTCCTCGTTGCCTATTTGTATTCCTTCGATTTCTTTTTCTTTTTCTTGGCTAGGCAATGGGGTTAAGTGACTTGCCCAGGGTCACACAGCTAGTAAGTGTTATATGTCTGAGGTCAGATTTGAACTGAGATCCTCCTGACTCCAGGGCTGATGCTCTATCCACAATTTCTTTTTCTTGTCTTATTGCTATGTCTGGCATTTCTAGAACAACATTAAATAATAGTGGTGATAATAGACATCCTAGCTTCACTCTTGATCTTATTGGGAAGGCATCAAATTCATACTCATTACAGATAATGTTTGCCCTTAGTTTTAGATAGATGTTACTTACCATTTTAAGAAAGGCTCCATTGATTACTACATTTTTTTAGTGTTTTTTAGTAAAAATGGGTGTTGTGTTTTGTCAAATATGGTTTTGATACAAAAAATTATAGACCAATTTCCTTAATAAATATCAACACAAAACCATATTTGTGGCATAAAAGGAATTTGGTAGGACTCCTTCTTTACCTATTTTTTCAAATAGTTTGTATAGTATTAGGATTAATAGCTCCTTAAATATTTGGTAGAACTCACTTGTAAATCCATCTGGTCCTGGGGTTTTTTTTCTCATGCAGCTCATTGATGGCATGTTCAATTTCCTTTACTAAGATAGGGTTAAGTATTCTATTTCTTGTTCTGTTAATCTGGGCAGTTTATGTACTTATAAATATTCATACATTTCACTTAGATCTCCAGTTTTACTGGTATATAATTAGACAAAAAAACTCCCAATAATTGCTTTCATCTTTATGGGCAATACATTCACCCTTTTCATGTTTGATACTGATAATTTGGTTTTCTTTCTTTTTTAAATCAAATTAACCAATGGTTTATCTTTTTATTATTTTTTTCATAAAACAGTTCCTGGTTTTATTTATTAGTTCAATGTTGTTGTTGTCATTGTTTTACTTTCAATTTTGTACTTTCTCTTTTGACTTTCAGGATTTTTATTTTTGTGTTTAGTTGGAGGTTTAGAATTTGTTCTTTTTCTATTTTTTTAGTTGCATGCCCAATTCTCTGATCTGTTCTTCCTCTCTTTTATTGATGTAGGCATTTAGAGATATAAATTTTCCCCTAAGTACTGCTCTGGCTGCATCTCACAAATTTTGGAATGTCATCTCATTGTTGTCATTCCCTTTAATGAAATTATTAATTGTTTCTATGATTTGTTCTTAGACCCATTCATTCTTTAGGATTAGATTGTTTCACTTCCAATTAACTTCTTTGAATAATATTTTATTTTTTCCAATTACATGTAAAAACAATTCTAACATTCATTAAAAATTTTTTTTGAGTTCCAAACTCTCTTCCTTCCTTCTTTCCCCACCCCTTCCCTGACAGAGCAAACAATTTGATTTAGGTTATACATGTACAATCATGCAAAACATATTTCCATATTAGTCATGCTGTTAAAACACAGACCAAAAGAAAACACACAAAAAAGTAAAGTGAAAAGTAGTCTGCTTCCATCTGCATTCAGACTCCGTCAGTTCTTTCCCTGGAGGTGGATAGCACTTTTCATCATGGGTCCTTAGGAATTGACTTGGATCATCATTTTGTTGAGAATCGCTAAGTTATTCACACTTGATAATTGTACAACATTGCTGTTACTGGGTACAACGTTGTCTTTGTTCTGCTCAATTCATTTTGCATGAGTTCACAGAAGTCCTTCTGTCTTTGGCTTGAGAACTTCTGAAGCTGCTGCTGCTTCTGTCATCACCACCTAGTTCCAATACTGGTTTTTCATCCATGTGGGCTCCTAGCCAGCCACCTCTTTTGTGTCTTTCCAACCACCTATATAGTCTTGGGCTGGAAGAATGTCTCATTCTGGCCTTCTGTCAGCTCTGCCAGTCCAGAATTCAATTAGAAGCATCATTTTAAAGTCGTTTGGAAGGGGATGTTGGGAGAGCTCAGCTGAGCATTTTCTCTACCCTATCATCGTGATTCCACCTCAATTGATTCCTTATAATTTAATTTCAAACTTTGTTCTAATGTATTCATCTTCAGACAGCTCATTCAGAAATGTCTGCCATGTCAATAATCAGCCTTTCATTATTTCTGAAGACATAGTCACTTTCTTTTTTTTTTTTAAATTGGTCATAGTATTTGGTATTTGTCACGAGTCCTCTGACTCTTGAAGAAAATGTCTGTGGTATATAGGTGTAAAATTTCTTATGTCTCCAGGCCTTTAGCCTCTTTTATTTCTTAAACCTGAACTGTGTTCTCTAACATTTTTCTTTTTGCTATTCTAAACCATGCCTACCTTTACATTAAGTCAGTGCACAACAAGGTAAATGTTGATTTGCCTTGGAGGTTCTTGTCCAATTTGGAGAATTCTCTAGCTCTTCATTCTCTGCCACACAGAATGGCCCATTAAGAGCTCTGTAAGGAGAAATGACTGAATCACCCAAGAAAGGATGTTTTTGTTACCAATGAGATTTTTTTCTTTGTTATTTCTTTCTCTAGTTATTTACGCCAGCTGTGTGTATGTGTGTGTGTGTGTGTGTGTGTGTGTGTGTGTGTGTGTGTGTGTTTTAATTTAAGGAAAATCACAGGATATTAGTTTCAGAGCAGGATGGTATCCTAGAGATTGTTAAGTCCAAACTCCTCATTTTACTGGCGAAGAAACTGAAGCACGGAGACCTAGGTGCCTCACTCAGGGGTCACACAACTAGTCAGTGTCTGAAGCAGTATCTGAATCCAGGAATTCTTGACTCCAAGTCCAGAGCCCTATAGAACCTCCATTTGGGAAAGTATTTTTCCTAGATATAAGATCGCTTATTGTACCTTGCCTGTAGCACTTATCATTATTATTATTATTATTTGGCTGACCAAATCTTCCTACATACTATATATATTTTTTGTGTAGACCCACAGGCCATCAATAGACAATAAAAAGAACACAATTGTACAAGAACTCACAATATACAATAGACAAATGGTAAGTCATCTCTTGTTTTTAATGAGGTTATCATCTTATGTCTTCATCATCTGCAAAAGAAAAAAAATTCTTTTTTTCTAAATGAATTAGCAATAACCTTAAACATGTCACATATCAAATGAATACAATTCTACCCTCTGTCCTTTCTGTGCTTTTTACTTCTCATAAGGGATATCCACCAGAGGCTGATGTTTTAGGCATCCAAATGAGAACTCTAAATGAAGACCCACTGATAAAATGATGCATTAGCAGACACGTTGGCAAGGTCAATTAAAGCATATGAGCCAAAAATCTTTTGACTTATACTGACTACCTTTGACAGAGATTTTTGGAGAAAAAAAGACCAGGAAACCAACTCTAGGTTGGCATAAGAAGAAAAGAAATCTGGTTTCTCTTCTAAAGAAAATTGTTAAAACCTATAATTGTATACATGTATCAGACATATCTCATCAGCATGAACAAGTGTGGAAATCTTCACAATGGGCAAGATGGGTAAAGCAAAACTAGGGCTCTGAAAATGATGTTAAATTTCTTCATAGAGAAATGATGGGAATTTTTGAAATATAATTGATGTAAGGGAAAGAAAACAGGTATCCACAATGATCTTTTATTTTAGATTCTATCAAGGTGATCACCTCTAATTGCACAATTGCCCATAAAATGTTGATGGGATAGGTGCAATAAAATGTCTTTGGGCACTAACCTTATGGCCACTTTGCTACTTATTGGTCTCCCAATCACCAGCCACCTACTGTTCCCCACTTACTCCTGAGGTCTTATGCACTGCCATTATCTCACCATCAGCCTAGCTTTAAAAGCAACAACTTGGCTCTGCAATACACATACCCCTTCTTACTTCCTGGCTCTGTTCCTTCTATGGAATCCCCATATCAAGACTTGCCCATGGTAGAAACTATGAGCTACCTAGATCATTGGCCCCTACCTATCTGTGACATCATCAGTAGGAAATCACTCAAATATTCCTGAGGTAGAGCCCCACCGCTCCCTATGGAAGTTCTAGACCGTTTTAGTGCTAGGCACAAGACCACGTTGGGCTATCCCACATGGAAAAACTGGAGAAGTGATGGAGAACTTAGCATAACATGGATGTCTGCAGAGGAGGGCACCTCTTCCATGATCCTTCATCCCTTCCTACTCTTGGTAGCATCAGGATCAACTCACCCAGTTCATTTCACCCACTTCACCCATTTCCAGCCTTCCTGCCAGGATGTATTCAGCCCCCTTTGCATCCATATCTTTCAGGGGTCAGTTTTACTGCTGAATCCTTGCTCCCTATTTCCTTTTCCCTTTCTTATGCCCTTTCCCCTAAATTTAAGTACCTTGCTTTGGTTTTTGTTGTTGTTCTTGTTGTTTTCTTTGTTTTTTGGTGAGGACATTGGGGTTAAGTGACTTGCCCAGGGTCACACAGCTAGTGAATGCCATGCATCTGAGGCCAGATTTGAACTCAGGTCCTCCTGACTACTGCTCCACCTAGCTGCCCTCTAAGTACCTTGTTTTATCGGAAGTAAAATTCACCCACAATAAAAGCCTAGGACTCTAAGCATCATTGGCCAGTTCACACTTTGGAAATCTCCAAGACCCCTCCCTGAAAGCAACTTACTTTATCCCAGCTATTCATCACTCTAGGTAATCTCTCTTTCACATTCATCACTCCTTATTGATATTTCTCATCTTTTTTTCTTTTCTCTCCTCCTTTCTTCCTTTTTTACTTTTTCATGATCCCTCTTTTCCTTATATCTCATCTGCCTGCTTATTCCTTTTTTCTTAAATCACTTAGATTCCAATTCTCCCTTTTGGCTGTCTTTTTAGCTTCATTCTCTCCTGCCCCTCTTCTTTTTTCCATTCATTCCTCTCTCATTTTTATTCTTCTCCCTTTCTCTTACCTTTCTCCCTCTCTCTTTCTTTCTCTCTCCTTCTCTCCCCCCCTCTTTCTCACTGTCTCTCTGGAACTAAGCTTTAACCTCTCCTTCCTTTGTTGTTTAGTCATTTTCAGTCATGTCTGACTCTTCATGACCCTTTTTGGGATTTTCTTGGCAAAGATAATAGAGTAGTTTGCCATTTCCTTCTCCAGATCATTTTACAGATGAAGAAATTGAGGCAAACAGTATTAAGTGACTTGCCCAGGGTCACATAGCTAGTAAGTGTCTGAGGTCAGATTAGAACTCAGGTCTTCCTGGCTCCAGGCCTGGCACCCTCTCTATTGAGCCACCTAGCTGCCCCTCTCCTTCCTTATAAAGCAGCTTTTAACTTGAACTGAGAGTTAAGAAACTCAGGCACCTCTGGGCCTTTCCTAGTACCACTGGAGATGTGTAGAGTGAGATGAACATCTACATCCCCATAGCAAGACCAACTCTCCAATGGAGACTAGATTCATTTAGACTAGGCTCAGACCTTCGAATTCTAGACACTCATAGGTATCAGGCCACTTACTCTTCCTCATCCATCCAAAGCCTAAAAGAGATACTAGCTGGGCTACTGGGTTTTTCCTTTCCTCATAGAGGATCCAAATTCTGGATAGTGTTAGTTACCTTTGTTAGTTTTTTGTTCATCTTCAACGAAGGTGGCATTTTCTTTTGAACGTGCTGCTTCCTGATCATTCATTGAGACTTCCCCAGTAGAAAAGAGACGGTGTAGCTCATGGATCAAGTCAAAAACGTGTCCAGAGTTAACACTGTGATTGCCCTCCAGAATGACCAGGTGCTCTTCAGAATCATATTCATCAGAGAAGTCATTATTTTCTGCCTCCATCTCATATCTCTTAAAAGGGAGACTAAACAGAGAGGGAATGAGGAACACAGGGCATGCATTCAGTCACAGTGGTCACTGTACATGATTCCTAATGATACAACATGAATCAACTATTGCTGGTCCACGAGCCTGGGACAGGCTGCCCATCATCCCAAGTCCATGATCTGAATCAAATGAAATCCAAGAACATTCCAACAGGGAATGGGCCCCTCCCATGTCTCAAGATTTTCCAATGTCAAGCTACATTGAATTTTTATGAGTACTTGGGCCTATACTTTGCAAAGTAAAGATTCAAAGAAGTTCTCCTAGAAGGTGCAACCTGGTGAAATGCTACAAGTACTATTTTCTAAAATGGCAGCTTCTTGGCAATTCGGTCATTTTCTTCCTTTTCCCTCAGGCTCTGCCTGTCCTCCACACTATACTGAATAGCTTCAGTGCAGGTAGCAAGCCTTTTGGTCATGGGTGGGTCCAAACCTGATGTTGGGGTTGGGAGCTATCGGTATAGATAGTCCCTTCACCAATGCAGATAGGCACCTTCCCATTAACTTCGAGTCTCCAAGAGTTGCTTGCAGTCACTGAGAGGCTAAGCAATTTGCCTCCAGGGGCACAGATAGAAAGTGGTACAAATAGGATTTAAGTCTAGATCTTTCTGAGCCCTCTATTATATCGCAGCAAGCATTATTGTTATGAAATATTCAAACTAAAACAAACCATTGTAGTTTTAAAAGCAAAAATTCTCAATGGACAGAAAGTGTGTTAAAGTAGAAAAAAAAAACTAGCTTGGGAGCCAGAAGACCTAGGTTCACAATCCTATCTCTATCACTAACTATCTCCATGACCTTAGACAAGTCACTTGTCTCAATGGGCCCTCCCAACCTTTTTTTATATCCTGGACCCCTGTGGCAGTCTGGTGAAGTCTATGGACCCCTTCCCAGAACACTATTTTTAAATGTATAAAATATAACACACAGGATTATGAAGGAAATAATGAAATATATTAATAGCAACATTAATAAAATATAAGTTCATGGACCCTAGTTTAAGAATCTTTGATCCAGATGGCCTCTGAGACCCCTTATCTCTAGATCTATAATCCTATGAAAATAAAGATTGAAAAAAAGCATCTGAGAAATAACTCTACATCTTGGAACAAAACTCTTCTTCATTTAGAAGAGTAATCATTTCTCAAAGCCTTAGTAACACTTTCTCAACTCACAATATGATGTGTTCTTCCTTAAGTTTCTTTGGGCTAGAAGAGGTCACATTAATACAGTTTGGAGTGTAATCTGCAGGGGGATATTGGTTGATTGCACCTAAAAAATAAGAACAGGATGTGATTAGTTTTCTATGTGCTACTTCTCAAGTTCCGAACTATTTTTACAAAACAAACTTGTCTTTTCTTTCACTGGTTTTTGTAGAAAAAAAATTGTGTTGCTTTCAAAAGCTCCTTTCTGTTGTTGTTGTTCTTTGTGGCCCCATTTGGGGTTTTCTTGGGCAAAGATACTGGAGCCATTGGCCATTTCCTTCTTCAACTCTTTTTTACAGATGAGGAAACTGAGGCAAATAGAGTTAAGTGACTTGCCCAGGGTCACATAGCTAGTAAGTATCTGAGGCCGCATTTGAACTCATGAAGACGAATCTTCCTGACTCCAGGTCTGGCACTCTATCCACTGCCATGCCACCCAGCTGCCTCAAAAGCTACTTTACTAAGTACAGTATTAGAGTTACAACCAACCAGATACTGTATTTCCAGCTCTATCATTTATTCTCTGGTGAGTTGGGGAGAAATGCCTTCCCTGTGGGAAGCAGTATAGTCCAATGGAAAGAGCACTGAAGATTGAGTCAGAGGACCTAGGTTCAAATCCTGCTTCTGCTGTTTTCTACTTGGGTAAATCACTTTTCCAATCTGGGGCTCAGTTTCTTTATATGTAAAATGAGGGGTGTGGTTAGACTAGATGACCTCTAAGATTCCTTCTTGGTCCACATTTGTGATATTTTTGGGCATCGGTTTCTTCATTCATTGAATGTGGGGATTGGACTAAGCTTTGTACATTCAAAATTCTATGATCAATTACCTCATGTTGGTAAGAGCCCAGTGACAATTACCTTGGGCAAGATGTCACAATTTCAGTCCATGCCCAATTATGCCAACATTCATTAATACGAAGTTGTCTTACATCTTAGTATCTTAGTAGCTCAGTGGCAAAATCACCAGATTTGTTTTCAAGGGGGACCAGACCTTTGACTTCATAGGTTTAAGGAACTCTGAACATAGAAACTACTTTTATCAGTAAAGGTCAGCTCCTACTCTTAATTTAGAGTCTTGGATAATTGAGAGTATAAACGACTTGTCCAGGGTCATGCCAGTACATGTCAGAAGCAAAGTCTTAAACCTAGGCCTTCCTGACCCCAAAGCTGGTTCCTTATCAAATATGCCAGTCTGTATCTTGAAAAATCAGACACTTATTAGCGGGGTGACCCTGAGCAAGTCACTTCACCCTGCTTGCCTCAGTTTCCTCATCTGTAAAATAAGCTGGAGAAGGAAATGGCAAAGCACTCCAGTATCCTTGCCAAGAAAACCCCAAAAGGAGTCACAGAGAGTCAGACACGACTCAAAAAACACCTGAACAACAATAACAAAAATCTTGAAAATTAGTGGCGGGGGGGACATGGAGAACAGATTTGGACTCAGTTTTTCTCTTTCATATCTTGGAGGGAGCTTTATGTCTCCTGGACACACAGAGGAAGGAAAACCTCCACTCCATACCATTCTAGAGTCTTAAGGTAGAGCCAGAAAAAACTGGGCGGAGACCTGGGAAATGGTCCCAGATATAGAATGTGAATAGTTGTGAGCTCTCTGGAAAATTTCACAAAGCTGGCAAACAGGCTGGAAATTGCTGAAGAGGGACATACATTGGCTTTATCCCAATGCAGGCTAAGCGCCCTTTGGGGACTCAGCAGATGTGCTTGGAAAGGTGAAGCTACTGTCTGCCTTCCCTCCCCCTACCTCCCCACTTCTGACCCTGCAAATACACACTGGAAACCACCACATCGTGCTATGAGCCTGCTTCTTTCCATGGAAGCAGAAGATTTAGCAAGCGGGATATAAAAACGCTTGGCACTCTTTGGCCCCATGTGAGCTCAAGGAGATACAATGGAATTTCACTGTAACCTCAATTTGACACCATAAGATCACAGATTTAAAGTTAGAAGGGACCCAGGGGTCATTAAGTCCAAATCCTTTACTTTTTAGATGAGGAAACTGAGGACCAGAGTTGCCAAAGGTCACACAGCCAGGAAGGGGCAGGGGCAGGATTTAAACCCAGCGTGTCTGACACAACCTTCTTTCTACCAAGCTCACCTGCAAAATATAGAGTTTCATATGAAAGAATAGTTACTGGAATATCAAAACATCTCAACAGGGCCAATCCTAAATAATACAAAAAGACCCAATGAAGCGACTTCATTCCTAGAAGTGGCTTTATGGATCCTGGATCCAGAGGGCAATGGTGTGCCAAGGGCCAGGGTAACAGTCTTCTTCATGGGTTTCTCATTACCTCATTCCTCCCTGGCCTAGGATTCAGTAGTGATGACTTCCAGGAATCTTAGATTACTGAGCTGATCCTTTGGCCCTACTCAAAGACATTCAAGCCACTTTAAAAGCAAAAGAAGAGAAATATTTAATGACTTACGTCTGACCGAATGGAGAAATGGTTTAACGAACCTCACGATATAGTCAAAGTCAGGTTTATGAATTCTTCCCAGCTGGACCAAGTGATGATCCAGGGGTGGGCTGGCTAGCTCTTCTAGCTCTTTGTCATTGTGCATGGGGCCAAAGGACAACACAAAGATGGTGTAGCCTAGGCACTTGGCTCTCAGAGCTTCTTCCTTTAAAGCTTTTCGGTCCAAATAATTGGTCTCTCCAGCAGATATCACAAAGATAACTCTGTTTTTTCTCAGGTTGGGTGTCTCTGAGAAGATGTTATCGATCGTCCATTTCAGGGCATGTCCAACAAAAGATTCACCATTCAGTGGCTGAAGAGATTCCCACACGTGGCTTTTCATTTGATGTACACTGTTATAAGTAACTAAATCAAACTCCACGTAGACTGGACATTCTTCTGCGTTGGGCATATAGCCCTGGGGGGAATAGCTCAGAAGGGCTACTCTGTCTCCTATATGAGAGGTCACCGGATCTGGGGCAATGTAAAAGTAGTCAAATACTGAAGCTATCAATTCTTTTATTTCCTGAAACTCAGAACTTCCCACATTCCGTGAAGAGTCAAGGAGGAAAGCTACATCCATAAAAACATCTTCCGGAGACAGAGTGCCAGATTCCAAAGGGAAGCCTGATTCTTCTTTTCCTCCAAGGTTATCGTCTCCTGCAACAGAATTTCTCACATCACTCATTGTAAGTGGGAGAAGGATAAATTCTGAGTTCTCAGAACATCATCGAAGTTCATGACATCAGAACATCATGAAAGCTCATTGATGGCTCAAGGGACCTCTAGATAGAAGAGGCAGAGGTGGAGGAAGGGCACTGAAAAACGATGTGCCATCAACATGAATCTGAGTTAGGCGTGGTGGCTCCAAAGGGAATGGGGCACACATCAGAGTTATCTACATTGGTCGGACACACATACATGCCCACATGCACATACACACACACTTGGGCACATACAGCAAAATGTGGATGTATCTTGAACCATGTACTTTTTTCTCCAAGTTGTGATGAAAATATAACATGGAATTGCCAAAATTTGATAAAGAGCTGCTCCCTCTTTTCTTTGCAAAGATGGGAGACAATAGAACATTGAATGCTCTGTCCAGACAGATAAGTTGGTTAGTTTTTCTGAATTCCTTTTTTCCCCCTTTTTATTCTTCATTACAAGGGATGGCTAGATGAAGATGGGAAGGACACATCAAGAAATGAACATAGCTTTAAAAACTTGACCAATAAAATTAGTTTTTTAAAAAATTGGTACAAGAACTGATTTTTCACCCAAATCTCCTTGCTACTGGCTACTTTTCCTCTTAACCTCCATTTCCTCTTGAATTTCTACCTATCCATTAAAACCCAGATCATCCTCTGTGACTAGTATTGTGCCAGATATATAGGGTACAACGAACAACTCGCTGTAATCTAGAATCTGAGGGTTTATCCATAGAAGGGAACTTGAAGATCATTTTAATCCAGCTCCCGTATTGAAGAGAGGAGAAAGCCAAGGCCCAGTGAATGTCGTGACTTACCTACAGGCAGATAGGCAGAGACAGGCTTCAAATCCATGTCCACCATCTCCATATCCATTGGTTTGCCTGCTATAAGATATGGACTCTCTGGATAAATGAGTGAATGAAAAACAATTATTAGGCACTTATTATGTGCCAGGTTCTGGGCTACATTCGGGGAATGAAAATGGCAGAATGAAACATTTCTGGGGTTTTGTTCCCCTTCATAAACAATGCTACATATCCAGAAATCATAGGATGTAGTCCAACCTTCTCAATTCAGGAAGAAGGAACACAAGGCTTAGAGAAAGGAAGTAACTTACCTAAAACCATATAGGTAGAGCCAGGCTTCATACCCATTTCCTCTGACTCCAAATCCTGGGCATTGTCTACTATGCTTTCTGCATGGAGGAACAAATGAATTAATGGATGAATAGAAAAGCATTAATTAGGCACCTCTTACGTGCCAGTCACTGTGTTATAATACAAAGACAAAAATTAATCAGTTCTGTTTTCTTCTCAAATATCAATGTTCCACATTCCAGGATCATAGGATTTACATATAGACTGGGCCTTAGAAACCATCTATTCCAAACTCTCTATTTTATATAGGAGGAAACTAAGGTCTGGGGAGATGACGCTTTTCTGAGGTCACATACATAGAACTGGTCCAAATCCAGCACTATTACTCCAAGTTGCATTTCTGTACAGATAAATGAATGAAAAAGCATTTAAGAGATGCCTATTGTATGCCAGATACTATGTTAAACATGGAGAATAGACAAAGATGAACCATTCTCATTTCTTCTCAATAGACAATGTTCCATATAATTTTATTTCAATAAACATTGACTACATGTTTGTTGACTGATTGATTGATTGATTTCCCAACTACATTTGGACTTCATATGACCTCCACTTTACACCATGGTTCCAGGCAGCAGCCTTTGTTAATACTCTTTGTTAATACCAACACGCAAAGCTCTAAATGTAGTTAGCCTTAGTGGGGGGATAAAGAGAGACTATAAAATGATAATACACCGATTTTTATTCCCTGCCATAGACAATAAACAGCACTTTTTAGCTGATCGACCTTCAATAAACAAAAACTCAAACATCATTAAGTGCTTATCTCCTAGCTCTTAGACATTGTGCAGGTTAAGTGGCCAGAACCTTTACTGTTGAGGGCCTTAACATTTAAGATTGGAACTTACCCAAGTGACACTTAGCACCAAAAGCTCAAAGGAAAGATCAGAAAAGAAAGCCAAGGAAACAAGAGGACCTATTCTGGGCTGCCATCTTCTTTTAAGGGAAAGCCCAGATTCATTGCCTTTGGGCATAATGCAGCATCTTGGGCCTTAGGAAGTCTTAATGTACTGTATTATTTGACTTGGCCATGAATCTCAGAGCTGCCTATGATTTCTTATGTCTTTCCTCTACAAAAAGTCCAAACCTCAGTGTTCAAACCCAACAGTTTAAGAGGACCTTTTATGTAGAGAGGTAGGTTTCCAGTTTAAATACACACTCTGCAAGAAGAATGAAACTTCACAAAACTATTTCCCACTAGGAAAGCCTGGCAGGAGGATTGGCAACACACCTGTGGGTTAAGGCCATTCAGTGCATTTTCTGGACAGTCCCCCCAGCCAAATTCCCATCCATAACAACTCTGTGCATGGATTCCCTCACCCGCATGGAAGAACTGCCTCAGTAGCCTAGGGACTGGCTTGGAAGATGTGATGAGGGGTCAGCCTAGATTTCCAAGAAAACTTTCCCAGAGCTTTGTCTTTGTCTGGCCTGGGCTCATCAGTCACCGTGCCAAAACATCCCCCAAAACTGCTGAATTCAGAGAGAAGCGGGGGTGGAAGGAAAGTCAGGGAAGAAGCCTGAATAAAGGGAAATTGAATTTCTCTCTCCTACAGTCATTTGGAGGGGGGTTCCAGATGTTGTGAAACAGCTGGGCTTGCTCTCCAACCCTCTGGTGGAAAATTGCAAGAGTTTGCAAGATTACACAGTGGCCCATGCTTGGAATTCTCCCAGAGGCCACATCTAATTAGACACAGCAGATGAGGTGTGTTCTAAGGGCATTTGCATATGAGGTTCATGTCACTTGGGAGCCCACACAAACCGTCCCAGATTATTCTCAATCTCTTTCCAAGTGAGCGGTTTTTTGACCGTTTCTCCCCTAACTGGTTTCCACTGCCTGAATCTTCTCTTCTCATTCTTACATTATAGCTGATTTAGGATCACTAGCATGAAATTGTCAGGCTTTTTAAGGTACTGCAGAGATGTCAGAGGATGGGAAGCTTGGCAAAGGACACCTGAAATGTTCAGGTCACTAAGGGTGACAGCTAGGTGGTGCAATGGATAGCGGGCTGGTCCTGGAGTCTGAGGACCTGAGTTCAAATCTGGCCTTAGACACGTACTAGCTGTGTGACCCTGGGCAAGTCACTTAACCCTGTTTGCCTCAGTTTCCTCACTGGTAAAAATATGCTGGAGAAGGAAATGGCAAACCATTCCAGAATCTCTACTAAGAAAACCCCAAATGGGATCATAGATAATTGGACATGACTAAAGTAACACAACAACAAAAAGGCCTCTGTGACCCAGGTTGGAGAAGGCTTTGGGGGCAGTTTTGGTGGCAGAATGGATAGAATGAATATTGGATTTGAAATTAGGTGGACTTGACTTACATCCTTCCTCAGACCTTACTAGCCGTGTAACTCTGGGCAATTCTATCAGCCTCAGTTTCCTGCTTTTTAAAATGGGAATGATAATAGCTCCTGCCTCACAGGCTTTTTCTGAGCCTCAGATGAGATAGCATATATAAAGCACTTTGTGAACCTTAAAGTGCTATACAAATGCTGTTATCATCATCATCATCATCATTACTATTATTATTCTCTAGGTCCTTAAAAAGCAATGTGGCATAAGAGATAAAATGGAGTTGGGAGGAAGATCAAGATTCTAATCCTGCATTTAACATTTATCAGCTCTGTAACCCTAACTAGACACTGACTAGCTGCATGACTCTGGACAAGTCATTTGATCTCTGCCTCAGTTTCCTTACCTATAAAATAAGAGGACTAGACTTAATGGTCTCTAAGGTCCCTTCCAGCTACAAATTTATAACCCTATGAATACAAATAATATTCGACACCATGAAACTGGTTGGTTGGCCTGAGAATAGTTTTCTTCCTACAACTTGACAATTCAAAGAATTGTTTCCAAGTTTTTCATCTTAAAATCTTGGATATGATACCATGTCTTGAAAATTCAGACCATGGGGCAGTTAGGTGGCATAGTAGATACAGCACTGACCCTGGAGTCAGGAGGACTTGAGTTCAAATCCAGCCTCAGACACTTGGTACTTACTAGCTGTGTGACTTACTAGCTGTGTGACCCTGGGCAAGTCACTTAACCCCAACTACCTCACCAAAAAGCAAAAAAAAAAAAATTTCAGACCATCTATCAAATATAAACTCTCAACATCACTTTTGTGATCTGTTCTCCTGGCCTCCAAACTGATCTCTCTGCTTTTAGACACACCCTTCCAGTCCATCCTCCATATTGCTACCCAAATCATCTTCTGAAGGCACAGGTCTGCCCATGGCACTCCCCTACTCAAAATCTTTATGGATTCATCTTTTTCCTACAAGAAAAATACAAGCTCAGAATAACAAGATCCTCAAATCTGAGAGTTTGAAGGGATCTTGGGGGGGGGGGTTATCCAATCCAGTCCAAAACTCCCACTATCATCAAATCTCCACCCAACCTCTTCTTGATGACTGCCAGAGAGGAAGGGAAGAGACAGTTCCTTAGACTATCATTTAAGACTCTATAATCTGACTCCAAAATCCCTTTGCAGGTTGATTTCATATGATCTCCCTTCCCACATTCTACATTCCAGCCCAACTGTTCTTTCAGTCCAAAACACCATCTCCTGCTTCTCCGTGCATTCTCTGAGGCTTTCCACGGTGCCTGAAGAACACTCCCTGATTATCTCTCCTCTTCACATTCTCTCTCTTCCTCAAAGCTCAGTGTAGAGGCCATTTCCTCTGGGAAGTCATCTTGGATCCCTGCCCCCCCCCCCGGCTGTGATATCATTCTTCCTCTTCTTAAATCTAATAGGACACTTTGTTAAGTTTTCCCTCCACCCCTCATCATTTTTTAACCCTTATCCTATACTTATTTGAGAAGATGTTACCTCCCTGAAATCATGGTTTCTTAACCTGGAGTCCAAGGACTAGTTACTAAAAAATGCTATGATGCTGAATTTCAATATAATTGGTTTCCTTTGCAATTCTACATATTTTATTTTGTCCATAGCCTTCACTGCCAAACAGGTCTAGATGCAAGGAAAGGATAAGGACCTTTGCCCTAAGTAGAATGTAAGTTTCTTGAGAATAAGGTACAGCTAATTTTATTTAATGCCTAAATGGTGCTGTACTTAATGGTACATACTTAAAAAAAAAAACCAAAAAACTGGATTTGTGATTTCATTAGTATAGGAATTTCCTTTCCTAACTCCCTACTCCGCAGTTTATACCTGAAAGGTATTAAGAGGTTAAGTACCTAGTCAGCTTTGAGGCTCTGAGAGAAATTAAGTGACTTACCCAGGGTCATACATCAAGGAGGTATAAGAAGTGGGACAGTATGTGCCTTATACATAGTAAGAAAAATATTTATGGAATTGAGTTAAAAGTTAAGTGTGAGCTTTGATGGTAAAGGTGGATAGATTATGGATAGTGCAGGGAGGTCCCTGAGAGTGTATTCTATGAAACCTTTTTTTTTTTTATTGTGTGGAAAGATATGGAGGAAACTTTCAAATTCTTGAGTGTGGTTTATACATTTTTCAGATCACCTCACAGTGACCCAGGACTTCCTCTCTCTGCTGTCTAGCCAGGACCCTGTCCAAGCTTCAAGGAGATCTGGACTGAGCATGGAAGGGCAGGTAAGCAAACTAATGTATGAATATATGACAGTAGATGAATTCCTGAGTTCAGTATAAATGAATCTTGTATTATCTTCACCGCTTTTTCTCCTTCTCGACTTAAAAAGGACAGGTAAGTTCATAGGACTATAGTTAGAGAGTTGGAAGGAACCTTAGAACCCTCAAACTCCTAAATGTAACCTAACCCCTTAATTTTACAGATGAAAAAACAGAGCCTGAAAGAGGTTAAGTGACTTGCCCAGAGTCACACAGGTAATGTCTAAGGCAGGATTTGAACAGAGCCTCCAGACTTCCCAACTTCAAATCCAGTGCTCTCTAACTACTGAACCACCTAGAATTCTCATGTTTTCTGGAAGCAGCAGAATGATTATCCTTATTTTTTAATTCAGCTGGATATTGCTAGTGCTGCTCTTTGGATGGAAGTAAGGTTTGCAGGAAGGTGTAGTAAGT